CTGGTAATTTGCGTTGACGGCCCGAGTGTGCCAAACAAAGCCGTGCCAAAGCTCCCCTGTCTCCACTGTCGTCGGCCGGCCGAGCCACGCCATGCAACCGAATCGATGCGCTGCCCTTTTCTGTGTATCGTGCACGTGTGGTGGTCGCGTGGAAGGACGGCGTCGTGCCATACCGGTCACTGTGACGGTGGTACAAGGGAAGGACGCCAATTTGGAATGCTGTCGCCCCTGGCCGCCATAAGTCCTGAGGAGTCACCACTGCTATTGGCCTCATCCGCTTCACCGTTTTCCAATTAACCATGTCCACTGCGAGCCCAAATTGTTAGCGTGTGAGTGAAGTCGTCTCGGCTCTCGTTCAGCCTTCAGCAAGGTGAGACGAGGCGTTCCTCGCGGCGGTCCACCATGGCTGCCTGTGCGGGCACGGCGAAGCGTCGTGATGTTTCGTTGTTTCCCATTTAGGCTGTGTCTTGAGCAATAGTGACTTGGTTATCGCCATCATGCAGTGTGTCCGTCGATGGTGTAGCAGGTCGCCGGAGCATCTTCTCTGCGCCCGGCGAGAATCGAGCAGCCGCGCGAAAGCAGAGCAGCCCGCGGTGCGCACTATTTACCTTAGCTTGTTGACGTCAGCTTTGCGTCATCCCTGCGTCACACATGTTTTGTGGCCGTATTCGTGTAGGAAAATAATTCCGTGAATACGTTAGAAATACGCGGCCTGCATTTTCGCCTGGCCCAACTCGCGCCGCGGCTTGCGCTAGCTCGCGCTGTGGCCTACGCTCCCACCGCTGTCGCGGCTCACACCGGCCTGCCCGCTGCTGCGCTTGTGCCTGCGCACGCAGCCACCTGGGCCAAGCTGCGTCCGCGCCCTCACCGTGGTGGGCCAGCCGCGCCGCAGCCGCCTAGGCCAGCTCCCCGCGCTCGTGGCTGGGCGCGCTTGAGCCTGCGTCCGCGCTGCCGCTGTCGGGCCGCGCTCGCGCCGCTCGCGCCCGTCCGCCGCTTGCTTGCTAGGCCGCGTCGCGCGACGCTAAGTGGGCCGCGCAGTAGGATTTTGTTTTTCAATTTGCAGTAAAATGTAAATGCTTATTCAATTTAGTTTTCAAGCTAAACTTTGATAAATTATGGTAAATCTTGTAGATGTCTAAAAATAGTGAAACCAAGTTTGTTAGGTTGACAAAAATACCATCTATCTGTTAGTGTAGTTAGTTCACAGTTAGCTATTGTGGTGCTAGGTTCGTGAAGTAAAAATAGAAAAACTTAATATTAGTTAGTTTAGTGTTGTAGGAATTCTTGTGACAAATCGATAATAGTTTTAGCTTTAAAATTTTTACGGTAGGTTCACTTGGATATTATGTACTTGCTGTAAATCTTGTAGCCTTAGAACGAGTTGTTAAATAAAGTAGTTATTACCCTTTGCTTTATCGTATATAACGTAAATCAGCATTAGGAGTAAGAATATCTGTAGTTGTTATAATAATAATGAATGTCATATTTCAAACTTGTTATCAGATAGCTTAGCACCGTGGTCGGTAGCCCTAGCTTAGTAGGTAAATCGATGTACTGTTATTTTAAGAGTTGCTGTTGTTATATTCCTAAGCATTGCATCGTCATTTCATGCATGTAGATCACGAGCTGGTAGACTTCGTGCCCGTCGACGAGCCAGAGTACGACGAGGTGATCGAGGAGTACGAGAAGGAGATCCTTTTGTAGGAGGGAGCCTAGGAGCCTGTTGGTGCTGACACTACTGACCCGACGCCTGCCCAAGGCAAGCCCCGGTGCATAACCCTTATTTTAAATGATCACCGAATATATATGATGTGTATTTACGTTACAGGTATTTTGTGGAAACTAAATGCATAAATATATCTACCTATGAGTCCTACTAGTACAGGCCGGTGTTCCGGTACGGCTTGTCTGCGGTTTAGCACCGTAGTAAGAACTGAAAGTTGAAAGGAGAAGAAATGGAACTGATTGTTCAACTCTTGCTTGAAATTAGAACATGTGCTTATATAGATTGGCTAGATGATAACTTAATACAGCTAATAATAAGACATAAATAAGAACTCACTATTAGAGCTGTTTTTGCTAAAGAAAACTAGCAAACCATAAAGCTTATCATAATCCTTGGAGTCGGGAAATTATTCCCATTAGTCGGATAAATCTTGTGAGTACATTGTATACTCAGGGTTTATTTACCCCTGTTGCAGGTGATGCTTGAGGAGTACCCCTTTGTGTGGAGGATTCTTCTAGTGGGCTCAGACGGATCCTCGCTCCTTAGCGCTAGATGTTATTTTTAAATTCCGTTGTTTATCATTTCGCACTCTGGTATTTGGTATTGTAATAATGTACTTTTTAAGAAACTCTGATGTATGAAATGGACTTGTATTGTAACTCATTCTCATTATTGGATAATTGGGAGAAATGTGGATCTTTCGGGTTCTTCCTCGGGGTGTGCCCGACGGATACCGCCCGTAGTAGTTAGCTTTCGGGGTGCTTAGTGTCTGGTGGAAGTCGAACGCCTCCGTAAATGTGCTATTTTGGGCGGTTCTGCCACAGTGCGCTCCGCTGACTGTTCGGCCACACGTTCGCGAGTGTGCAGAGGCAAGTGCCCTAGGCAACGATAATGGTCTCGTGAGCGGTGGGCGCGGCGTGGGCGTCCAGACATGCTCTTTTGTCCGGACGTTCGGCCGCTAGTATCTCCCTTTAGAGAATTTGGTGGTTCGCCCCTGTTCCAACGTGCAAAGGTTTACTTAGTAAAACATGGGCTATATTTCCCTGATCGCAAAAGAAAATAAAAGCAAAGCCGATTTACCCCTACTTTTAAGACTATGATTTTGCCATTGTGATTTTGAAACGAAGATTCTATTTACCCTATTTTTTAAGTTGATTAAATGGCAAAAAAAGAGAAAAAAATACCCACGCAAAAAAAAAGAATGCACTCAATTTATCCTTTCTCATGCCTTTCTCACCAGTTTGTCTTCTCAGTTCTCAAACACAAGGAGGCTAGGGTTATAGCAGGTCATGCCTGGGCGGTGAGCGGGTGGGCGCGCGGGAGGCGGTGCGGACCCCAGCGGGCGCGTTGGCGGCGGTGTGCGGCCAGCGTGCGGCGAGGCGCAGCTGCTAGGGGCCTCGAGGAGGCGTCCAGGTGCTCGGTCTGGACTGTGGGTCCTCGGACTCGGGCAGCCAGCGGGTCCAGCGTGGGCTTCTCCTCCTCTATTGTTCTTCTTCCCCCTCTATTCCCATTGGTTGATTTGGCACTAGATCCGACTGGTCTGGGATGCTGTTACTCTATGGTGCCAATGCTACTTGTGATATTAATTTGTGTTTATACAGATTTTTAGCTAAAATGTTCTTGAATTTTTTCTGAAATTTGTCAAGTTTGCACTGGTATGAAAATATTGGTAATAACACAGAGAGCAAAAATAAAAAGGAAAAAATTATATGGACAAATTTATCCTTTTGCTGGAAAGTTAACACCGTTAAGAGAGATTAGTAGAATAGGGGCAAACTCGCTTTTTTCGTTTCGAAATAGCAAGGGTAAAATCATAAAGGTCCCGTCATTGATGCATAGAAAAGCCAACTGAAAAACACCGTTTTTTTGTTGTGAGAGAAAATACATTCTTGGTTGAAAAAAACAAGCCGAATATGGGATAAGCCGAACAAGGCCAAAGTTAAAAGAATAATGTTAAAATGACCATTTAATATGAAACTAGAGATGTAAGCACTTAAGCCCCTATGTTTTATTAGGCTAGATTCTACAATATAATTAACACTTTCTTTGCCGTTGCTGCAACTCTGACACTGGCTACGATTGTTTATACAAAGACAGAGAATTTCAAAATAAAAAAGAAAACAAAATCCAGCGGCAAGCAGACGAGATCGTGTTTGGGACCGCGTATTCTGCGGTCGTGACGAAAAGAATCTGATAATTGCGCCAAACACCTTACAAACCGCGATGATTGTTACCACCGCACACGGAAGAGAAATCACAAAAATGAATAGGAGCGTGTTTGTTTCAGCTTAAAATCCGATTTCCGATGAAAATAATCAAGAATCCCACTCAAATGCTACGACTATTATTTCTCGGTTCTTTTGGCCGCGGGCAGTGAAAGAAATCAACCTCTAGTATTGCCGTGCGTTTTTGCACCGCAGGATTATCCTTCCTTCGTTGCCCTCCCTCCGCTCCTCCCACTTGGCCGTCTACTCCGATCCCGTTGGCTCACGCCCGTTCTCTGGTTCATGGGTAAAATGAGCTGAGTTCTCTCCTGGGGCTTCCGTCGAGTAGCTATATGCCACCGCGTTCAGCTGGTATAGTTCCAGCTTGTTTCAGCTTATTCTTTCTCGCAGAATACTATTCAATCATTAAAAAAATCCAAAAAACACTGTACAACAGACCATCCGAACGAGCTGATTGCTTCTATCCTTTATCGTCCAATCGAATATCCTCTCCCATCTCGATTTCTCCAGATTTTAGAGAATGATGAAAACGCTTCGGCTTTTCTTCATTTCATGATTTCCTTCACATTATTACCAATACAACAAGCTTTCTACTAAACAAACAAAAAATTACTATCATAATTACTTTTAATTAGTTCGTATCTAGTCAACAAATAAGCTATCATTAATCTCAATGGCATACAAGTCATTTTACACTTAGATCAGAGAATCTACGAGCAGTAATCAGGATTGCTAAACACCTAATTTTTTGGACCGCAGATTCTTTAGATCGTGGTTTTATCAGAAAATCCTGATTAGATTAAAATCAATTCTCACACAAGCGGTTCCAAACAGGGCCGAACTCTCGCGTTTTCTGTACCGCGTTCCGAACCGCGCGACCGCCGTGCCAAACACGCCCCAGAACCACGCGGCGCGGCCACGCCAGTCCCAATTGACGACGCAGCCTTCTGGACTCTTGGCAACAGCTGAACAGCCAACAGCGCAGAACCAGACCTCCTCTCCTGGCCAGAAAGCCGGCCAGGCCAACCGGCAACCGCGATTGGAACGGAATGATGAAGAAATGGAACGGGCGCTGGCTGGGCGGACAGCTACGCCAGTGGTCCGTGCCAGTTGGTGAGTTGGAGTTGCGCTACCGCGGCGTGCGTCGGTGACGGCGACTGTGAGAGCGACACCCAAGGAGACCGCCTCGTCCGACGCGACGGGAACGCAGCGTGGCGGGCTGGCGTAACCGTCACGTCGGGTCGTCGCCGACGCTGGCCCCGCCACCGCCACGCCACGCCGCGGGAAAAAAGAAAAACATTTGGGTCACGCTCACGCGGCGCGACTCGGCGGTCGGCGGCGAGTTGGGTTTACTCCCAGGTCCTCTTTGCCCCGGGTGCCAGCAGCGTGGCGCATTGGATAATCAGCCGGCCGGCCCACGGGCACCGACCAGGCAGAGGCGCCGGGATCGAGCCGGGCACGAGCCGAGGCGAGGCCGCGAGGGAGGAAAGCCAGCAAAGGTTTCGTTGCAAGGACGCACAGAAGGGAAAAGGCTTTTGCATCGATCCAGGTCGTCAAACGTGACGAATCCAAGCACACGCCCCCACTCGCCTCGCTTGAAACTGCAGCAGAGCCCCAAAGTGCCCCAACTGAAACTGCCCCGGCGACCACGAGCGCACCTAAACCCCGCCCGGCGCCCCGCCCGCCCGCGTCTCGCCGCTAGGAAGAATCTTCGCCTTCGCGAGGCCTCTCCAGTCTCCCCTCCTCATCGACGTCCCCGCCGCCGCCGCCGCCGATTCCTCGCCGGGACTCGTGAGGTACGCTTCTTCAGTTCCCGTATTTGATTGACTGAATTTGGTGTGGTTGCGGTAGTTCGGTTGTACTGTAGTCTTATAAGACCAATTGCGAGATCAAGAGATCAGAGAAGTGCGATTTTCTTTCCCTTTTCCCCACTCCTTGTAGCCAGTACAGAGGGATTGCTTCCCCCCTTTGATTGTCATGATTCATGAGTCATGACTGTTGTATGTAGTAGGGCTCACCTGCTTTGCAATCAAAAGCCGGTGCCAACATGATTCGTATTGATGATGATTACTACTATTTTTCATTAGGACTGACACCAACAGATGTACTCATGCTATGGTACCTATCTTATCATTCCAGATATGAACTGTAGAAGAAATACAGAGCAAACGAAAAAACTACTCATCTTCCTGTTTATTTTGCTGTTATTTTTATTGCAATATATACTTTGATCCCAGACAGTAATTGACTCTGATGAGTTGCACGTTTGTTCATGCTATGCTAGACACAGCAAGTATGGTTGTCTTGAGGAATTAATACTAACCACATCTTTCTTTTGCTGCTAATGCAGCAATGCAGCTATACCACCACTCCTATTCGCTGGACAGTCAGAAAGTGCGGATGGCGCTGGAAGAGAAAGGCATTGACTACACCTCGTATCACGTCAATCCACTCACCGGCAAAAACATGAATGTGGACTTCTTCCGCATGAACCCCTCCGCGAAGCTCCCTGTCTTCCAGAATGGAGCGCACGTCATCTATCGCGCCATCGATATTATTCAGTACGTTCCTTCTTTTCTATATATATTGGAAATATCTGAAACTTGACATTCTTCTATTTCTGTTGAACACAAATGTTTATATGCACTTTACATTGTCATAGGTACATAGACAGGCTTGCAGTGCATTTAAGTGGTGAAATCCCCCCTGTGAATACTGAGGTTCACCAATGGATGCAGAAAGTTGATGCTTGGAATCCTAAGATGTTCACCCTCACGCACACCCCGGCCAAGTACCGTGTGTTTGTCTCCAAGTTCAAAAGGCGGGTGTTGATTGCTCGCATGGCTGATGCCCCTGATTTAGCTAGCATGTATCATGTCAAGCTCCGTGAGGCTTATGAGACTGAGGACAAAGTGAAGGACCCTGACATCATGAAGCAAAGCGAGGAAGAACTGAGCAAACTCCTTGATGAAGTTGAATCCCAGCTCAGCAGGACCAAATATCTCGCTGGCGATGAATTCTCACCTGCTGATTCGATGCTTGTCCCTATTCTTGCGCGCATAACTCTTCTGGGCCTTGACGATGAATACATCAACTGTAGACCCAAGATACTTGAGTACTACAATTTGGTTAAGCTGCGACCAAGCTACAAGATTGCCATTGGCAAGTACTTTAGTGGGTGGAAGAAGTACCGAACTCTCTTTAAGACATCGTTCTTCCTTTGCGTTCGAACCCTGTTCAGGAAGTACTAGATAGTCGAGCAGCTGAAATAGCTGAATCAGTACCTTGTGAACTGACTTGTATAGTGAGTTTTGGCTAAAAAATCATCTGTATATCTTCCATGTGACTTTTTGTGGTCTTGAGTTCTGTTTTCACCTGTAAAACCAAATACGTTTGTTTGCTTGTATATTTCTGCTTCATGTTGTAAGCAGAAATGGAAGTTATAGAAGTATAGAACTGTATACAGAATAGGCCTAAGTATACATTTCGGTTTTTGTCACTTGTTCTAGTCCAATTCATGTCTGAAATAAATTGTTGTTGACTTGATTTTGGTACTGTCTAATTGTTTCCTTAATTTATAACTTGACCAAGTTATTATGCCTTTTTTCCTTATAGTTTCTAATTTCTTTGAAGGGGAGGTTGTCCCTGATATTCTACTGCACAAGGTATGTTATTCTTTCTCCTCACTTCTATCATACTTAAAAGTGCAAGTTCTATGACAAATTTTCTTTTCCATTCTAAATGCAGGCCTTAATACTGGTTGGCATTTTAGATGTGACCATATAGGTAAGCATAAGATCTGCATGTGCTCTACATTTAAAATGCAGGACAGTTGCCTGACTATCACATGCTCCTTTTGCTCCAATAATGCACCATGGGCCAGGTCTGTACTTCGTTTTCTCTTCTCCAGAGCACACTACAGGTCTATATATACCTCAGATAGAAGGTTTTCTGTTCAACAATCCAAGTTTCTTTGCTGTGGAGCATATGGGACTTGAGAGTGAGCTGGGAAGGGGAAGAGAGGGCCTAAGAGCAGTGGGAATGGGAACATGGAGGAAAGCCTATCCTGTTTGTTTCCTCCTTCAGAACAGAGGTGGAAGCTTGGTCTGGTGTTTCCCGATGCCTCCCATTCCTATTGTTCTTAAGCGCTCCATCCTTTTCCTTTTGGCTTACTGTGCAGTTGGTTCAGTAGACAACCAAATTATGCTCCTATTTTGATGATTTGAATTTGGGAGTGAGCATGGAAGAGGAAGAAAAGAGTTTCTAAGAGCAGTGGGCATGGGAACATGGAGGAAGGCCTATGAGGTGGAAAGCTCATTTTGGGTCTTCCTGATGCCTCCCATGCCTATTGTTCTTAGGTGCTCCTTCCTCTTGCTTTTGGCTCACATGACATAGAGGATGAGTGCTGTGTCTCCATTCCTGATTTGACATTTTTTTTCTTTTATGTTTGTTTTGGCATGCCGTAGTAGAAGTAGATGCATAGTTTACGATGTTGGCTTTGCTTCCTGGAATGTTTTAAGTTCAAAATTCTTTGGCATGTTTGGTCACAGATAAGTTAAAGGTTATAGCTAAGTTAGATTGCCAATATTTCAAGTTTCAGATTCCACTAGCACAATCATACGACTGCTTAACTATTGACTGTTCTGAATATGAACACATCTCATGCCAACATTTATCAGCTAGCATATGGAGTAAGAAACTGGCTAGCACTTCCTCGAACTTAACAGCAAGAGACATAGAAGTGCTATTTGACAGAACATATGATGGCATGCATTTTCGGCCAACTTCTCTTTGACGAAGTACTGCAAAATAAAGTATAGAGACAAAGATGATGAAACATAAGATATGAACATGTACATCCGACTCTACACCAGAAACAAAACCAACAACTTCCCTACAAAATTTGAAACAAATGAGCTACACTGAGATTACATAAGTTTGCAAGAAGGAAATATGGCAACTAGAAGATTTATAACTAATTGCATCCTCTTTGAACTGCTGAAACATATGCAAGCACGTCTGTGGCAAATGATTGCTCAGCATGTGAGCTCCTGGTGATATGCACTAATAAGTAATAACTGGCTACACTCTGGGTCCAAGCAGGTGTGTGCTATCTCAGAGAGCTCCAGCCAAGTGTTGCAGAGCTGAGGATTTTGTAGTCCGTGCATACTTTGTGCTAGTCTCTAGTAGTTGTTTCCAGTCATCTCTGAGTCACAATTTCATGGGGTTAAACTTGCGAGTGCAGAGTGCTTACATGCCTACTCATTCATTTTCTTCTTTGGGGAAAAAAAATGAAATGCACTAGTGTGAAAAAAAAATCAAATTGATGTCTATGTGTTGAATTAGGCAGCTTGGTGTTTTCTTGCTAGCCTGAACAGTTCTTGTTTTGTCAACTGCAACAACTGTCACTATCTTATTGTCTTTCCTCTTAGCCTGAGCGATTACAATTTACACCTCTCTTGCTTTCAGGTGTCAACAGTGATAGTTGCCACCAGCTTCTTGTTTACTTATTTATAATGTTGCCAATTTCTTATGCCTTGTAACTTATATAGCTTCTAATTACTTTCAAATAGCATGGCATTCCTGACATCTGAACCCTGTTACAGCCAAAATGTTCAAGTTATGTTATCCCCTCATTGTTCTCATTCTTAAATGCAAATTTCTTCATTTTTTTTTTCTAATCTAAATGCTGGGCATACTGGTGGCCCTATTAGATATGAGTAAACTGAAGATTTTCTGCATGCGCTCTATATTTACACTCAGTCTTCAGGACAAAGTGTTAGATGTATTTGTACATGTGTATGTAACACAGGTCACTCAGGCTACATGTATGCAAGTCACCCATGTGCGCCATGGATGAGATTGCCTGTGCATAGTTTACTCCACGCAAGGTTTTCTACAGGGTGCACTAGTGGCCTACATATATTTCCTATCTCATCAATCCAGGCATATGGTTTATAGTATGTGAGAGTAGTGGGACTTGATAGTAAGCCTGGAATAGGAAGATAGAGAGGGCCTAAGAACATTAGGAATGGGAACATGGAGGAAAACCTTACCTATTTGTTTCCTCTAGCTACAGAGGTAGAAGCTTGGTTTGGTATTTCCCGATGCCTCCCATTCCTTCCGTTCTTAAGCACTCCTTCCTTTTCCTTATGGCTTGCAGCACAATTGTTTTAGCAAAAAAATTAAAGCACACACTTTTTTGGATGATTTCAACTTGAGGGTGACCCAGGTAAAGGAAGGAAAAAGGACCTAAGTGTAAAGTAATCTGCTGCTCTCCCCTGTGTGAACGCGTGGCAGGGACAGACGCCGAAAGGGCTCTCTGCCGCTACACTGTAGCCGCGGCAGGGGCAGGCGCCGAAAGACTCCCCTACCGCACTATAGCCACAGCAGGGTCAGGCGCCAAAGTCAGTCTTGCTGTCACATTTAGTCACTGTAGGTGCATGGCAGCCTGACATGTCTGTGTACTATGATTAGATGGGTAGAGTTATATTTATAGCTTCTCACTGCAACTCAGTAAAGAGAGCGAGTTCAGTTTTGCCATCTCCTTTGTAGAGCTCCGGCCAACGTTGGTGCTTGTGTTGTGTGTGCGCGCGCTTGTTCTTCCTCCCTTCTTCTACCTCTAGCCATAGTGTGTGGTTGGCAACATCGATGAGCGGTCGGTTCACCTTGTGCCGGAGATCTAGGGGCCAACAAGTGGTATCAAAGCCGTATAAGCGCCGTCGCCGACTAACCGCTGACGATGACGGACGGTTTGGAGATGGACGACATCAGCGGCGCTGTTGTGGCAGCCTAGCCACAACAGGAGGTCGTTGTACGCACGGTGTGGGAGGTCAGCTGCACCAGTTGGTCGACGCTGACTCGCACCAACTATGGCGAGTGGGCGGTGACCATAAAGGTCAAGCTCAGAGCCCGACAGCTCTGGAATGCCATTGACAAGGGCACCGACAACGAAGAAGACAACATGTCAGTGTTGGAGGCTATCATCGCTGCTGTGCCAGCGGAGTACAGGGAGCATTGGGGGTGAAGAACTCTACTAAGGAGGCGTGGGAGGGCATTGCAGCGATGCGCGTCGGCTCGGCCGCGCAAAGAAGGCGACGACCCAGCTGCTGAAGCAGGAGTACGTCAACCTCAAGTTCAAGGATGGTGAATCGGTGAAGGACTTCTCCCTCCGCCTGCAGTCGCTCATCAGCAAGCTGAGGAGCCACGGCGTCACCATCGACGAAGAAGAGGCGGTCTCCAAGTACCTCCACTCCGTGTCGGTGAAGTACATCCAGATCACTCTCTCTATAGAGACGATGTCGGACTTGTCCACCCTCACCATTGAGGATGTGGCAGGCCGTCTGCGGGCGGTGGATGAGCACATGGAGCAGGCCACAACAACGATGGATAGCGGCAAGCTGCTGCTGACAGAGGAGGAGTGGGCTGTCCGAATGAAGAAGTTCGGGGAAGCCTCCTCCAACCGCGGTGACGATGGCAAGCGCCGCGGCAAGGCTTCTTCGCAGAAGAAGAAGAAGAAGAAGATCGACCCCAACACCTGCCGGCGCTGCGGGAAGACGGGCCATTGGGCAAAAGGAGTGCCCAAATCGAAAGCAGGGGAAGAAGGCTGAGGCTCATTTAGCGCATGCTGATGAGGATGATGAGGCCACTCTCCTGATGGCGACGTCGCACGCAGACGAGCTGTGTGACAGCTGCTTGGCCGGGAAGCAAAGGAGGTTGCCGTTCCCAAAGACGGCCAAGTATCGCGCGGCGGACGCTCTCGAGCTCATCCACGGCGATCTCTGTGGGCCAATCACGCCAGGCACAAATGGTGGTCGGCGGTACTTCCTCCTACTCGTGGATGATTACGGTCGCTATATGTGGTTGCAACTCCTGACGAGCAAGGACGAGGCGGGGGAGACGATCAAGAAGTTCAAGGCGCGCGCGGAGGTGGAGAGCGAAAAGAAGCTACGCGTGCTGCGGACTGATTGTGGCGGCGAATTCACTTCGGTGGAGTTCGCTGCGTACTGCGGATCAGGGTGTGGTGCGACACCACACCGCACCGTACTCGCCACAGCAGAATGGCGTGGTGGAGCGGCGGAACCAGACGGTGGTCGGCATGGCTCGGTCCATGATGAAGGCCAAGAGCATGCCGGCAAGGTTCTGGGGTGAGGCGGTGACCACGGCAGTTGTCGGTCCAGAAAGTGACCAACTAGTGAATATTTGTAATTTTGCTATATGTTGTGATCGGAGGTGGCCTAGCACTCAATGA